TGCTGTATTTGTGTATGACACGACCAAATATTTCTTATGCACCCCAGGTTCAGCACTGGGAAGCTATTGAGAGAATACTTGCATATCTGAAAAAGCACCCTGGCAGAGGCATTCTTTTCTCAAATCATGAGAATTTGAAGCTGGAATCCTATACAGATGCAGATTGGGCAAGATGCTTAGATGACAGGAGGTCATCATCAGGAGTGTGTACCTTTGTTGGTGGAAAGTTGATCTCCTGGAAGAGTAAGAAGCAAGCGATTGTGGCAAGGTATGCAGAGGCCGAGTATAGATCCATTACTCATGGTGTCTCAAAACTTCTTTGGGTTAGATCTCTTTTGAGTGAGATTGGGATGAAAGCAGAGGAACCTATGATGTTATACTGTGACAATTAGGCTGCAATCAATATTGCCCACAATCCAATTCAGCATGATAGGACAAAAGACATTGAAGTTGATAGACACTTTATAAGAGAAAGGGTGACGACCAGAGAAGTTTGTTTGCCTTATGTCTCTTCAATGTTGCAGTTGGCTGATGTTCTCACTAAAGGGGTGGTAAAGAACATGCTTGAACTTGATCTATGCAAGTTGGGAATGTGTTACAATTACTCCCAACTTAAGGGGGAGTGTTGAATATTAATCAGTTTTATGATGTTTTTCTAAGTAGATGTTTTATGTTGTTAGATAGGAGGTGGGGACCATAGTAGTTATGTGAGTCCAAATTTTATTATGTTTTTTGAGTGTTATATATGCTGTTTTATGTCTTGCCGCCCTCAAGGGCATAGTTGTCTTTGTACTGTTCTATTATTTTTAGTATAAATAATAAGTGAAGGGGGCGGCCAGATTATTGCTCTCTTTTGTTTTCAACTTCTCTTCTTCTCTTCTTCACCTTCTCTTTTCCTTCTCTCTTCAAGAAACTACTTTTCTTTCATATTTTTTAATTCAGCAGATTTCTACTCTTTTCTTATATATTTTGATTAATAGAAGCCGATGGCAAGGACTAGGAATTTTTTGTATTGGGCTTAAATGTAATGATTTAACTTTCTTGTATGGAAAGGTAACACCTTGTGCCTCTCTATGGGATGTCTGTAATGCACTAATGCTTACTTTTTATGGATTATTAAAAGTGATTTTTACTCGTAAAGAAATATAGAGAAGCCGATGGTAATGGTGCAATGCCCATTGGCATTGTAAGTCTTTTGAGTTCCTTTTTATTGGATGTCATGTTTTTGTTTCACCAGAAGGAGCTAGTGGTTTTAAAGTCACATAGGGATCACCATATTTTGTTTTTCATTGCTTATAGTCATGGCCTTAAGAGTTAAGGCTTATGTGGAGTTGACCTGTAAGATAAGGTTGCAGGATGCAACATTAGAAGGGATTCTTTGAAAAGATCACATCTTTTACCTTTAACATGTAAAAAGGGGAAATGAAAGGTATAGCGTTTGAAATCAGGGTTGGTCTTATTGAAAGAAGAAATAGAGGAGAAATCTCTTTAGGAAGCAAGAATATTTTCTACAATAATTGTTGACTGTAATGGAAACAGAAAAAAAATCTTTGCTTGCTCCTTAGCGGGAAAAATAGGATTCTCTCTACAAGACTTGTTGACTCTCTTATATGGATCCAAAAGCTAAAAGTTTCAACTTGATCTTTGAGTTTAAGTCCAAGTTGTATTTATAAAAAATGTAGAAACTTTTCAAAGTAGGACACTTTTATAAATCTCTAATTTTGCTAAAACCAAATATAAGAAACTAAAGAATGCTAAAAACAGTAAGTCGTGATTTTACCATAGATAGAAATTATGGGAATTACCATAATTAGCATTTTGGGGAGTTACTGTAAATAGTACATTCTAGAAGATTGAAAGTTAACTCTCTAATGGTTCTTGACAATAAAGCCGATTGAAAATAAGAGAGAAGAGAAGAAGAAGAAGAGAAGAAGAAAGAAGAGAAGAGGAGAGATTGGCAACAATGGAACAATACTGGTGGCGCCAGCATCTATTGATATTTATAGGGTGTCTAAATTAAAAGGGGGGAAAGACCCTTATGCCCCTGATGTAAGTGAAGTACAATAACAGAAAATAAAAAAGAATTTAATCCAACCAAACAGACCCTAACAAGACAGAAAATAATAAATGAAACATAAAATAAACTATTTTAACACTCCCCCTCAAGTTGGAGTATAGATGTCAATCATGCCCAACTTGTCGCACAAATCATTGTGCCGCACATGTTGAAGATCCTTGGTGAAGATGTCTACAAGCTGTTCCTCTGAGTTGACATATTGGAGTGCATATTTCTCCACTCACATGTTTTTCTCTAATAAAATGCTTATCCACTTCAATGTGTTTTGTCCTATCATGGAATACTGGATTAGTAGTAATATTGATAGCAGCTTTATTGTCACAATATAGTGACATGGGATTGTTGACTGCAAAGCCCAATTCACCTAATAGGTTTCTTATCCACATGATTTCAGCAACTCCACGAGACATAGCCCTGTATTCTGCCTCAGCACTAGATCTAGCCACCACACTTTGCTTCTTACTCCTCTAGGTGACCAAGTTACCTCCTATAATGGTATAATACCCACTGGTAGACTTTCGGTCATCGTCTGCCCGTGCCCTATCAGCATCAGTATATACTTCCACTTTTAAATGTCTATATTTTTGGAACAACAAACCAGCTCCTGGAAATTTCTTGAGGTATCTAAGGATTCTTGCTGCGGCTTCAAAGAGAGTTGTCCTAGGGTTGTGCATGAACTGACTAAGGACACCCACTGCATATGCAATATCAGGTCTGGTCATAGACAGATATAAGAGTCTCCATACAAGTCTCTGAAACTTCTTCACATCTTTCAAGAATTCTCCTTGATTGTCTCCTAGTTGATGGTTAGGTTCAATTGGTGAATCAATTGGTTTCACCCCTAGCTTGCCTGCATCTTCTAGAAGATCTAGTTCATATTTCCGTTGGGAAATAAAGATGCCCTTTTGAGAGCGGGTAACTTCAATTCCAAGGAAATAGCATAAGGGTCCTAGATCTTTTAGCTCAAATTGAGTGGCTAAGAATTTCTTCAGTTTTTGTATCACAACCTCTTAGTCTCCTGTTATCACTATGTCATCCACATACACAATTAAAGCTGCAATTTTCCCTTCACCTTTCTTCACAAACAAAGTGTGGTCTGACTGGCATTGTTGGAACCCCATCTGTTGAACTGCTAAGTGGAACTTACTAAACCAGGCCTGAGGTGATTGTTCCAACCCATACAAAGATTTTTTTAACTTGCACAGTTTTTGCTCACTGCCTTTGGCACAAAATCCTGGGGGTCAGGTCATGTACACTTCCTCTTCTAAGTCACCATTCAAGAAAACATTCTTAATGTCCAATTGGTGAAGTTCCCAGTCAAGATTTGCTGCTAATGAGAGAAGAACCCTGATAGAGTTCATCTTGGCTACTGGAGCAAGTGTCTCTGCATAGTCCACTCCATATACCTGTGTAAAACCTTTGGCCACCAGTCTGGCCTTGTACCTTTCAACTGTTCCATCAGCCCTGTGTTTCACTGTGAACACCCACTTGCACAAAGATTGCATAGTGGGTGACATAGATAGTGTGGTCCATTGGTCAATCTGTTAACTTTGACTTTGATCATGATTGCTGATAGCAGAACCTGAAAAACAATTATCTTGAAGCCTTTAGCTGGGGCATTTCCAAAGGTCGGATGAGCTGAAAATCTATAGATGTGTGCACTGTAAGTGTACTTTCATGAAATTTTAGTCAAATCAACCAATGTTTGACTGGCCAAAGTCACTACTTTTATGGTTGGTGGTGCATTCTGCAAGTCCACCATCTAACCCTTTTTCTTCAATTTCTTTCTTTGAGGTTTTTTGATAATCTCTTGTAACCACTTTCTCAATACTTGTGAATTTTTGAACATCAAAGCTTAAGGTTAGTAATACTTTTTTAATTCTGTGGCTTTTTGTCCCCCATCAAAAAGAAAACATAATTAAAAAAACAAAAATCCTCTCTTTTACTTAACTTTCATGAGGGGGAGCAAGTTCTAACAAAGACAAGATACCAAAAGGAACAGTTATGGGAGCTCGATCTTCAGGGCTGTTGAATCAGCTTGTGGTCATACCATTCCAAGGTGCATAATTTGGTTTGTTCACTTAAAATATGCTATTACTTAGTGAGCTTTATAGTCTTGATACACCTAGCACCTGGCATATCCAGTGTAGGTTATTTAACTTTCTTATCATTGTGGATTATCTGAAATTAGCTTTTTGTGAATTGTCTTATTTACAGATGATTTCATTTTCGTTCCTTATAATAAGTGATATGCATCTCTTTAAAATTTCACTGGAAATATTATCAGCGAGACATGCTTGGAATATTTTATATTTTAGTTTCATGCTATGTTGATAAATTTCTTGTTTATATTATTGCAATCCTTCTGCTGATGCATGATCAATCTTAAGTCTTAAATTTGAGTCACATATTTGGTGAGACGATAGTCTTATCCAGTGCTTTAGTCTCTGGCTTGCTATCTTAAGGTTTCTCCATTTTGTTTGAAACTCACTTACTTATATGATAGGTTGTAGTTGCTTGATGTTGTTTTCCATGCTTTTGTTTTTTCTATGTTATGAAAGGTTTAATTGTACCTTAACTTCATTTTTTAGATTTTCAATGAACTTTGGTAGCTGTACATAATTAGTGGTCTTGTTCGTCTATTATCTTTTTGAAGCCTTTCTTCTGATCCTAGTGTATTTTGTTGATATTTTGAAGAACATATGCTTTTCTATGCTAGTGAAAAGTATCCATTGGAAGACAGTTATTCGAAGTACATTACAGAGGTATTGCTACCATACCATAGTGGAGATACTTATTCAGATTTTCTTAGAAGTTTGCTTACTTTTGCTTTATGCTTCTTGCTCTCTCTCTCTCTCTCTCTCTTTTCCCCACTGTATATATATTATTTAATTCTACAGCTGATTTTTGTTGTCAAATTTTTAATGAACATTTTATTTTCTAGTAGCAAAAAGGAAGTGATTTAGACCCACTTTTAGATTCTTCTTTCATTGGCATTTGGCAATAACAAGATTTTATTAGAAAAGAAACAGATATAAATCTCCCAAATTACAGGTACAGCATTTTCATGTGCAGCTATAATTCTTTAAAAAAAATACTTGTCATTTTCTGGCGATTTTATTTTGCATTTTGTTGGTCCTTCAGCCCTTGCAAGGGTATCTTCTATGGTGTTTTTTTCTTATTGTTGTTCTGTTGTTGATGTGGTTATTTGGCCGATGCTCAGCACGGAGGTTCTACAAATGCTTTCACTTCTTCTGAACACACAAATTACTATTTCGATGTTAACACTGATTGTTTTGAAGAGGCTTTGGATAGGTAGGATGTTGTTCTTTCTTAGAACTAGTTTTGTTCTTTTTTCCTTCTAAAGTTTTCTAATCATGGCTTCTTTGCATGCATTGTATCATTCAGGTTTGCACAGTTCTTTATCAAACCACTAATGTCTCCTGATGCTACCATGAGGGAAATAAAAGCTGTTGATTCTGGTAAGTAGGTGCTATTTAGTGGTTTCTACACTAATATCACAATATATTCTAAATTGTTTTGAAGTAATCAGTTGTTTCCTTTTTCTTCTTGTCCAGAGAATCAGAAAAATTTGTTGTCTGATGCTTGGCGAATGAATCAGGTATGGATTGATTTAACACTTACTGCTTTTGCTGCCCTTTCCTGGGGAGATATATATGTACTTTATCCAAATACTGTACCAAATATTATTTAATGATTCTAAGCTGATGGAGACTTGTAAGATCAAGTGTTCTGCATGATTTGACACTTGTAAGAAGTAGCGAGAGTTGATGAAAATTTGTCATGTTTATTGGTTGGTTAATTTTTTCCTATAATACCTGGATACTAACACAAGGCCAAGGGTGCTGTATATGCTTGTAAGAGGGACTTCGTTATGAGTATTGCGTAGCCCTGGGGTTTATACACACATATACACACAAAGAGATATTCCTTTCTGATGAAGAAAAAAAAAACAATCAGAAATTGTAGCTAAGTATGGCTTCAATTTTTAACCAAATGAGCCTTGGGAGAAGGTTAATTGTAGATAAGTATAGCTTTCACGAGAATGGCTGGGATGGAGCTGACTCTAGTCAGCTGTATGGATGCTGTGTATGGAGAAAAATCTAAAAAGCATTTCCTTGCTTCATGTAAGAGTTAAATACAATCTTGTAGATAGGATTAGGCTGAGTTTTTGGAAGGACCCATGTGGTGGGGAGAGGCCTTTATGTGACCTATTTCCTGTCCTTTTCTTGATGGCAAGTGACAGAAATGCTTCAGTGGCAGATTCATATTCGATGGGGAGAATATTGCCTGGACACCATCTTTTAGGAGAAACTTTAATGATTGGGAGCCGTCTTGAGTAGCAGATCTATTGTATTCGCTTCAATCTCAAAGAATTACCCTACTAGCTCAACATTTAGATGCTGGAAACAGTCTAAGCCTGGCCTTTTCTGAGTAAAATCATGCTATCATGGAATGAGAACAACTGCTGTTTCGTCATTTTTATTGTTTCATCTTATTGGGGAAACTTCAATGATTGGGAGCTGTCTCAAGTGGCAGGTCTACTGTCTTTGTGTCATTCCCAAAGAGTTACCCTACAAGTTCAACATTCTAGGTGCTGGAAATGGTCTAAATCTGGCCTTTTCTGAGTAAAACCGTGCTATCATTGGAATGGGAACAACTGCTGTTTCATCTTTTCCTAGTAATGCCATTTGGAAGCCTGCTGTCCCCTCAAGGATTAGGTTTTTCACCTGGGTTGTGGCTTGGAGCTTTGGATAAATGCCTAACCAAACAATTGCTGTCAAGGAAGGGAGTAAACTTACTGGATACCCTTTGTCCCATGTTCATGGTGGAGAAAGAATCTCCCAGTCATCTATTTATTCACTGCAGATTCACTTACAAGGTATGGATATGCTTCCTATAGGCTTATCTCTTATCAGGGGTGCCTACAAGCCTCTGTTCAGGCCCTCATACATGGATGGAAGGTTGCTGCTATGGGTAGGGGGTAGGAAAGGGAGATACTTTTGGTCAAGGATTTTTGAGCCGAAATGCATTCTGGAGGTGAGTGATTAATGGCATAGACGAGGCCGAATCTCTAAGGAAATGGCTACATTTAAGGGAAGACAGAATTTTCTTCTTCCTTTTTGGTTGTGATTGTTTTTAACGGTCCTTGAATGTATGTGGATATGCACAACCTCATTGTACAGGAAGATCATTGTAATTTTGTTATACTTTTTAATACAAATATACTTTACATGTCAAAAACAATTATTGATTTTAGTGAAAGAATGAAGAAAACATTCCTGTTTGACATTCACATATGACTTGCACATAATGCATTGGCAGCCATATCAGAGGGCTTTCCTTGCCTTTTTTGACTCGCTTAGAGCATGCATGCATGGTCTAATTTCATGGGCTAATTTTTTCTTTCTGCTCCATTGATTATTTTTTACAGCTTCAGAGACATCTTTGTGCCGAAGCTCACCCATATCATAAATTCAGTACAGGTGTGAAAAAAAATTCTCTTTAACATAATCAATCTGTTCTTCTGGGATAACTAAGCTGCACTTTCTTGCTTCAGTATTTGTTTCGTTATGATTACTAAGTAACACTATGGCTTATATTTCTTTCTCTTCTTTTTCAGTGCCTCTCTTATTACTTAGGGCTCCTTAGTGGCTGTAGCTGAAGTTCAGTAGATTACTATATGTTTTATTTTTATCCACTAAAAGACAAAGCAATTAAGCCTTTCAGTTCAGCCCGTTGGACATATTGTATTTTTATGAAGAGAGTATTACTTATATATTCATTATGCAAGAGCATCCCTTTCAGATATTTACTTAACTTCCCCTGAAATATGGTCAATTTATGTAGGGGTTGTCAATGGGTTGGGTTTACCCAACAGAACTGAACCGACTATATCAGTTCTGGTTCCATATTCTCTTCCGTTGGGTTGATCCTGGTTCCATGTTTTTTGTCCCGATTGTTATTCGGTTGGGACCGGTTTTGGCTGTCCTGAACTGACTCAGACTCGAACTGATTATATATATAATATTATTAATTTTATTATATTTCAAACATAACAATAATGATGAGCCAGCTGGGACCTTTTTGGATTTCTCAGTACTCAGTCCAATGGACACATCCATCAAAAAAATACTCCTATTGACACTCAAAACAAGTTTATGCATTTCTTTTCAGACCCATCCTCAAAAAAGATGCAAAGGTAACATCTTTTCCCCTCCGACTCTTCATTTTCGTCTAAAAACATTTGAATGAACCCTACCCCTTTGTCTTCTTCCCCTTTTGACTCTTCATCCTTTGTCTTTTTCATTCTTCACTCACATCGGCAAGGTCGAGTTATTTTTTTGATTAATAAAGTGAAATTTTATTATTTATCAAAAAAATAGGTTGTGGTTGTTCACAGTGCCAGCAGTGAGGGATGTGCTTTGGTTGTTCACATCAGCTGAAATGGCAGGCAAGTGCAGCACTGCTGCAATAAACCAAGTTTAAAAACAAATTGCTTTGCATGTTTGCAGCTTTGCCATTTACCAAGAATAGCAATACTGCAATCCACTGTCAGAGGTTAGCAAAAATCAAGGGCCCCGTTTGGCGTGTCTCTCCGCGTAGTCTGCCGGCTATTTACAAGCTCGGCAGATGGCGATTCAGTCTTTTTTTGTTTGATTCGCGGTAGATCTAGCCGCCAAAAGCCGATGTGTCAGAAAGACGTGAGAAGCCCAAAACGATTTTCGGGAAGCTCCAAATGGAGATTTTGCATTTTTTTCTATTCGTCTTCGAGCGGAAAGACGTGCGAAAAGACACACCTTAGCCAAATGGGCTTCAGGCTGCTCAGGTCTTAATGCAAAAGCTCAATGCGTCTTTTGACTGTCAGAGCTACTAGACGATCTTCCCAAAAAGACTTGCCATACAGCCCAAGATTTTTCCATTATTGGTCTACTATGGAGAGGTTAGCAAAGATCCCTAGCCAGTGGTTGTAGACCAGAGTCAAGAAGGCAAGGTTGTGCCTAAATTCATGAATGGGTAAGATAGGTTGTGATTGAGAAAATACCAACCATTGAAATCTTCAACAATCTAGAATTGCAGAGGAAAGTTGTGGTCCATAGCTGAAGTAAAACAACCACATTAATCGGCAAGATAACATGATTGTAGTCTCATAGAGTTATATATAATCAGGTCTTGTTGGTTAAAACCCATTTATTCTTATTACTATTAGTAATCAGTTTGGTTCTGAGTATGTAACTATAGACCCTATAGGGTCTGGTCTGGGACCAGAACAGCAAATTTTCCTATTGGTTCAGGATGGTTCAACACTATCCTGAACCAGACCCAACCCATTGACAGCCCTAATTTGATGATAGGATTCTCTTGTTTATTTTTAGGCAACGTGTGAATGGTGAAATGAATGTTATTCTTCTAGTAAGTAATGCAATAAACCTTTAGCTGGAATACATGGGAAAATACCTAGAAATCAAATAATTTTGTTTTAGGTTTATTGTCCTAAAGTCGAATAAATCATAATAGAAATGAGGTGATGGAATTGCGGCATATAACTGCTATTCTTAGAAGCATGAAACATAAGGCTTTCTTCTTCATTTTCTATATTCTTCTGAATAATTATTATATAGCTTAGATTAATTTTTTATCTATTTCAAGAATATGCTTGATATGTTAAATAAAAAACGCAGGTACTTGGGAAGTTTACGGATACGAGTTCAAGAAGGACCACCCTATGCACCCACCACCCAAAGTAAACCACAAATAACTCCTACTAAAGGCAATTATACATGGAAGGACTGGAATCCATATTCATGGGATGGAATTGAGCTAATTTAGAAAGCCCCTTCATCCAAACAGGCCATCCCAATACCTTACCCAGAAAAGACAGTGTGCCACTTTTACCACAAATTGAAGAACAATCAACACTCCTACAACAAAAGACAGAAATCTGGAAAACTTGCAAGATGTTGTGAAAAGAACCATAGCCTTTTAAACCATGTGAAAGTCAAAAATCAGGCCAGCACGATAAAGAACATTGGTCATGACTAAATATGGTATACACTATCTGATAGTTACTTTTAATGGTAAACTTGAATTTTCTGATCCATTGGAGGCCTTGTGGGGACTGCTTGTTTTTGAAAAGATGTATTGGGTTATTATTGTTTTTCTTCCTAAAAGTTTGCTAATGGACCAAAGGCTGTCTCTTGAATACTGATTTAAAAAATTTTCTAATGGACATTAAAATCTTAACTATTCTCTCTCTCTCTCTCTCAATACAATGGAAACCCTACATAGCTATGGTTCTGAATATCCTTGACCTCCTATCATAGTTTAATGAAGATATGTTATGATTTTAGGAAGCTGGGATACTTTAGAAGTCCGCCCAAAAGCAAGAGGGCTAGATACTAGATGTGAGCTTATTAAATTCTATGAAGCGAACTATTCTGCCAACCTTATGCAGCTGGTTGTATATGGGAAAGGTCAGTTGTTATTTCTTTATGTCCAGGTGGTTTGACAAAACTAGTGATGTAGTGAACATAGTACCTACTAATTCTTCTTCACTATGGAAAATTCCAGAGAGCCTTGATAAAATTCAAAGTTTGGTGGAAAGCAAGTTTCAGGAAATTCAAAATACAAACCGAAGCTGTTTCAGTTTTCCTGGGCAGCCTTGCACACCTGAACATCTTCAGGTATTCATAGATTACAAAGAAACATGCTTAAATATAGACAAGTTTATCACTTTATTTATTGGTAGCTATTAATCTGTTCGGGTATTATTACCCATGGAAATAATAGTTCAATATTTTAACCTGTCTATTTCAATGTTGATTGTATTTCATTTTATGCATTCAGGTTCTTGTCAAAGCTGTCCCAATAAAGCAAGGTCACAAGCTGAGAATTATATGGCCTATAACTCCAAGTATTCATTATTATAAAGAAGGGCCATGTAGGTATCTTGGCCACCTTATTGGACATGAAGGAGAGGGATCTCTATTTTTCATCTTGAAAAAATTGGGTGAGTTGTATATATGTATTTCAATAGTCCTCTCGTTTCATCTTTTAAACCATTGATTCTCTTAGTTTACATTTTTTTATATGTATGGAGTTTCCTCTGTTAGAAATTTGATGTTTGAAATTTATATCGTAAATGTTCGGTAATATTGTTAGCTGAATCTTGATCTGATGTTATATTTTAGAACTTGGGTTAGTTATATGTTACATCTAATTAAAAGCTGGGGATATGGTCATGTTGCATCCTTTTTCATCATCCATGATACCCAGGTATAGATATTGGTATGGACACGGATATTGGAAATGGGGATATGACTTTCCATTTCCTAAAATCTGGAACACAAATATGGGTATGATTGCCCCATGAAATATGCTTGTTTTATGTTTCTATATCAAGATTTTGGAGCTACATATCTTGCCAAATTTAATTTGGTTTCTAACATAAAGATTTTTATAAAATTTAATTTCATTTCTAACATACAAAGATATTTTTATAGTATTGATTTATTAAAACATAACATTTTACATATTAGAAATGTTAATGCTAGAGTATATGTAGAAGTGTTCATGCAGTATACAATGTTGTATCAAGTACAAATTGTGTTTGACACTGGTGTGCTAGGCATGCACAGTTATTTGGTTATCATAGGTTATCATTCATGTATTCGATAAACAACTTTTGATACATTGGTGAGCTAGTTAATTTATGGAGCATAGGCTGATGCTTCTTCCATCATTTTTTCTGCAACAGTAAGTTCTCTGCCCTCTGTGTTTACTTCACATAATCTGGGTTAGCTAGCTATTGTTTGTTTACTTCACATAATCATCATTTGTTTACTTCACATAATCTGGATTAGCTAGCTATTGTTTGTTCAAAAACAAAGCTATCTCTAATTTCCTTTCCTCTTCTAGGTTCTATTGGAACCTTAGTTTTAGAAGAGGTCTTAGGGATCATGGAATACTCACTGTTTCGGATCTAATTAATTCTCTGCCCTCTGTGTCCGTTGATTTTTCCAAGCTTGATTATAGGATCCTGAAAGTGAGTTGCCTTCTATTCTGCCTCTTTATTCAAGGTCCTCCTCCCCCCCTCCTTCCTCTCAGAGATTCAGACTTTCTCAGTGATGGAAATTTGGAGCATCTTGTTACCACCCATGATTAACTCTTTCTGTTAGGAGTTTTTTTTTTTTGAAAAGGTAAGGTAAGGTTTTATTTCATAGAAACAACAAAGTACAACAGATTCCTGGGCAGAAGAAGCGCAGAAACAAGTATAATTACAGACTCCAAATGGACTGAGAGCTAAACTGCTCAGCTACATTCAGGTGCTTAAAATCAGCAGTAACCAACATCCAGGAGATCAGCTTGCTGACTGACTGCTGAACTAGCTCATCTGGGCTTTTTGACTTGTTAGAGAAAACTCAATTGTTTCTTTCCGACCACAAAATCCACAGTATTGCTGCAGGAATTGTTTTCCAGACTAGTCTTCCTTTTTTCCTTAACCCTGCCAGATTCCAGCTACATAGGAGGTCTTTGACTGATCTCGCCATGACCCAACAAACTCTAGCAGACTTTTAAAAAATGCTCCCACACTCTAGAAGAAATTGAACAATGTATGCTTAGATGATCTGTACTTTCAGGCATCAGTCCCCACAGCCCACAAGCAAGGTTTGAGAGATGCAGACCCCTCCTTTCCAGGCTGATTTTTGATAGGCACTTATTAAGCACCATAGTTCACACCAGAAAATTCGACTTAGAGGGAGAAACTGCATTCCAGATTTGTTTACAGGGAAAGATAACAGGCCCAGAACTGCCAAGTTTAGATGATAAGGACTTTGACTGAAAAATTACCATCCTTACTCCATTTCCATACCCACTTGTCTTCACTAAGCATGTCAGTATTTCTGCTAGGAGGTTTATCACCTTGATCAGGACTTGTGAGATCCTGAAAAAGGCCATTTTAATGTTTGTTCCCTCATGTGTGCTTGTTGTGTCTTGCAAGAAAAGGCCACATTAGTGTTTGCCCCCTCAGTATTGTACTTGTGGTTGCATCTTTGTTTTCAAAGAAGGTGTTGTGATCTGGATACTTCTGAAATTTTGCAGGATGGGCTACAGGTTTGTCAGCAGGTGAAGGGGATTGGACTTGCGGATTTTCTTTCTTTAAAGTTGTTATTGATCTTACTGATGCTGGTCATGGTTAGTTCTTTGTCTTGATGCATCAACTATTTTGTTTCATGTGTCCTAAGTAGTTCTCTTGATATCTTTTTTCCTGCCTAGTAAATCTTTTATCTATCTATACTATATTAACTTTGAATTGTACCGTGTTAGATTTCATTTTTTTCCCATGAGCTTCCATTTGTAAACTATAATGACAAAATATAGTGAAGAAGGGACCTGACATGCCTGCAGACTCCACAAGCTAAAGTCGTGTATCATTATGTTGAGATAGGTCAAATTAATCCTAGTAGACTATGTTTTTACCCCTGTTTTCTAATCAATAAGTAAGACTCTGTTTTTTCTTTTTCTTGAAGAAATTTTAGCAATATGATAAACATTTTGTGAATGATATTGACTTTATAAACTTAATTACAGAGCACATGGAAGAAATTGTAGGATTATTGTTCAAATACATTCTGCTCTTACAACAATCTGGTGTTAAGAAATGGATATTTGATGAGGTATGTGAATTTTGAATTTTTAGACATGCATGGTTTTATGGGCATATTATTTTGTATTTTAAGGTGCCCCCTCCACCTGGAGTAAATTTTGGGGTTTAAAACAAGGGCAATTACCAAATTTGTTAATATATATATATATATTTATAAACATTAATAAGATTCAGTTGAGGATTTTTTTGATCAATAATTCAGTGAGGATTCTCTACTATAATTTAATTACATTTACATAATTTCGAAAGTTTGTTTTTTGTTTTCTTTTTATCCATAACGTCATTGTGTGGGTGTATAACATAAATAGAACAATTGTCATGATATATAATATTGAATTCTGGACTGACTTGTGGTGGGGAGACAACACATTAGCCAACTCCTTTCCTCTTATTTTTAATCTTTCCCAAGCCCAAAATGCCACCGCTGCAACCTGTATCCAAGTATCCCCAATTACTCCTTATTGGAACCCAAGTCTTAGAAGGCCTTTAAGGGATGTAGAAATATCTGAGTTGGCAGATCTGCTACATTCCTTAAGGGAAGTCTACCTGTTCCCCTCAAATCAGACCAAAGAATCTAGAAATCTCATCCAGCTGGGAAGTTCTCAACCAAATATTTTTTCAGGACCCTAACTTCAGAAGTCAGCACCTCTAAATTTCCTGCCAAACGGATTTGGATCTCCCATATTCCTTCTAGAGTTTCCTTCTTGGTATGGGAGGCTTGTTTGAAAAAAATAAACACTTGTGACTTGTTACAGTGGAAAAACAAAGGCAGATGGTATATCTCCCCCATAATTGTATAATGTGCCTAAAGAATGGCGAGACGGCTGAACACCTTTTACATTGCTCAGAAACAAGGAAAATTTGGTGCTTCTTCCTAAACCTAGTAGGATACAGCTGGGTCTTTTCTGAACATATTCAAGACCTCCTTTGGCAATGACAAGGAAGAGGCCTTGGAAAAAGGGGAATAGTGTATTGGCACATTGTGGTTCAGGCAGTTTTTTTTTTTTCGGGGGGGGTATGGGAGGAAAAAGAAATAACTGAATCTTCAACAATAAAGCCAAAACTATGGGTGAACTGTTATCTCACATCTTCTACTTTGTGCAACATTTGGGCGCTGAACTCAGAGGAGTTCAAAGGTGTTTCCTTGAATGTCCTTCAGAGAAGCACAGTGGAGATCTTGCTTTCTTCTCCAGCTTCTCTAAAAGCAACAAGCAGCCTCAAGCCAAGTGTATAAGAGGAGGTGATTCTGAACTTTGATGGAAGTGCCCTTGGGAGCCCTGGTTTAGCTGGAATGGGGATGCGTTTAAGGGAAGGAAGGGGTGGGAATTTACTATGGGCTTATAGTGGTCCAATCGTTTTGGAAGACTCTACAAAGGCTGAAGTGTTAGTAGTGCTAGCTGGACTCCGGATTGCAAGAGACTTTGGATTGTCTTCCCTTGTCATCAAAGGAGAAATTTCTTTTTTCCCTCTTTCCAACCCTTCCACAAAAATTCTCTCATTTTCTTTTCAATGTTAGCTGCTACTCCTGCTGGAGTAGGTTATAGTGATAGCAAATACATGAGCACATGGCTCTATAAATAGCTTCTGCACTTGACTTTGCCCCCATGGTTTATTTCTTGCTCTTCCAAGTGACCAAATTGCCCCCTACAAAGGTACAACAATCAATGGTGGGCCACCTATTATCAATAGAACTTGCCCAATTAGCATTAATATAACCCTTTACCTAATATGGCCTTATTTAGTTTAGAGAAGCCCCTACCACAATGTCTCTTGATGCAAGAAAGAATTCTCTTTAAAGCCTTGAAATGAGATGATTTTAGTGAATGCATACCATATACTGGCTTAAGACACTCACTATAAACACTATAACGCTATATCTGGCCAGGTCATAGAGAGGTATAGGGGCCTCCCAATGAGTCTTTGATACTACTGAACATTTGAAAGTGTCTCCCCCTCAGTTTTCAAAATTATGGTTTAGATCCATATGGGTATCTACTGTTTTACATCCCAGTTTTCTAGTATCGTTCAGTAAGTCAAGGATGTACTTTTGAGAGATAAAGATCCCCTTATTGGACCATGCAATGTCAATACCATGGAAGTACCTCAGAGGTTCAAGATCTTTAACCTCAAATTGTAAGGTAAGAAATTTTTTTAACTTTTTAATGTTTTTTCTTCTTAGTTTCTTGCAATCACAATATCATCCACATATGCAATGTCAATACCATGGAAGTACCTCAGAGGTTCAAGATCTTTAACCTCAAATTGTAAGGTAAGAAATTTTTTTAACTTTTTAATGTTTTTTCTTCTTAGTTTCTTGCAATCACAATATCATCCACATACACAATCAAAATGGCAACGAAATTACCCTTTCTTTTTACAAATAGTGTGTGATCAGCCTGGCACTACACAAAGCCAACCTGTTGGACTACCTTGTTTAACCTCTCAAACCATGCCCTGGGGGATTGTTTTAGGCCATAGAAGGGTTTCTTCAAACAACAAACTTTCCCTTTATTTCCTTGTAGCTGGAAACCACAGAAAGATTTATCCATGGATTTTGTCCTTGGATTGCCTAAGATTGCTAGGGGTCATGATACAATCTATGTCGTGGTGGACCTGTTCTCCAAGATGGCTCATTTCTTACCTTGCAACAAAACACACAATGCTTCACATATTGCTACTATATTTTTCAAAGAAATGGTTTGGCTTCATGGAGTGCCTTCTACTATTGTATCAGATCGGGACACCAAGTTTATGAGTTACTTTTGGAAGACACTTTGGAAACTACTCAATACCAAGTTGAAATTCTCTACATTGTTTCACCCCCTAGCAGATGGTTAGACTGAGGTAGTAAATAGAAGCTTGGGAGATCTTTTATGGTGTCTAGTTGGTGATCATACTTCTAGATGGGATCTAGTGCTTCCAATAGCTGAATTTACTTATAATAGCTCAACAAATAGATCCACAGGAAGAAGTCCATTTTAAGTGGTGACTGGTATTCAGCCTAAGCGACCAATTGACTTAAGTTACCTTATCACCAGATATACTAGCGTTGAAGCATAAGATTTTGCTAGGCACATAAGAGAGATACATGATGATGTTAGGAGAAAAATTGCATTGATCAATGATTTATACAAGGATAGAGCTGATATTTGTCAACGCTTGGCAAATTATCAAGGAGACATGGTTATGGTACGTTTACGACTAAAGTGTCTTCCTAATGGTGTGTACAAGAAGCTCCATTCAAAGAGTGTAGGACCTTACAAAACCTTCAAGAAGATAAGTTTTAATGCCTATGTTCTACAGTTGCTGGATGACATGGGAATTAGTCCTATCTTCAACGTTGAGGACTTAACTCATTATCATGGACATGTGGATTCTTTTAAGAGTCCTGTACCTAAGTTGCCGACTATTGCAGCTCCAAATGACATTCCAAAGGATGTTTTAGGTGAGGAAATAATATCTACTACTATGGGAGGGTATCTGAAATTCCTTGTCAAGTAGAATGGCAAGCCTATGTCTGAGAGTTCTTGGATCACTGCAGAAGACTTTCATCGTCTCAATCTAGATCTTTACGAAAGGTACCATGCTCTTAACTTGCTGGGGAGAGATGATAGGAACCGATCAGCACCCTTAAAGACTTATTCTAGAAAGAAGGCCTTACAACAGGTCTTGATATGCTATAGTAATGGGAGATCGACTTCCATCAGGGCAAGCCTGTGCCCACACCCTTCTAACACCCTTTTGCAACCTTGCATTGAGAATATCTCCCCATGGAATAAAGCACGCTAGTGGGGAGATATTCTCAATGCAAGGCAGTAAAGGCTGCTCGAATGGGCTTTGCCCTGACTGAAGCTGAACTCTAGTAATGGTACTTGGGATTTGGACTGAATTGAACACCCAAGGGTATTTTTACCATTTTACAATTTTTCTGTAGGGTCCAATAATAGGCTTTGATTGTCTATTTATAGTTTGTTTATGTTTAAAATTTCAGAGTCATTGCATAAGTAGGATTATTGAGCATAGTTTTCAAGGCGCCAAGGTGAGGCTAGGCGACAAGGGGGTGCCTTGTTGCCTAGTTGCCTAGGCGATGGTTTTTTTTTAAGTAAAAATATGTATCCTAGGGTAGTTACCTAGGTTCCATAATCATATTTCTTTAATAATTATCCATAATTTTCATGAGAAAAGTATAAATTTCATGTTAAAGTATAGAAAATCAACATATTCATGAGAAAAAAAAGAAGAAAGAAAAGAAATTTCAAAAAATTAAGTGTTGAACCCTTATTTCTGTTATAGGAAAAGAAGAAAAGAAAAGTTGGAAGAAGAAAATTGTTAAGTTCTTCCTTATTGGTTCAGGTTTTGAAGTCTTTCAGGGTTCAATACAGCATTTAGCAATGTTTGTGTTGATTAAACCCTAACAAATAAGAAAATAATAAAAAGAAATTAGTATATAAACACACAAAATGAATATTTTAGTTTAAAAATGTCTATTTTAAAATTATAACTTCAAGAAATTAAGAATATAAAAGTTTTGTCTAACACATTATAGAAAACTGCTTAGCGATTAGGCGAGGCGAGCCTCCAAGGGCGCCTTGTCGCCTAGGCGTCGCCTTGACAACTATGTTATTGAGTCTAATAGTTTGACTCCTAAGACTTTTATGAGTCTAACAGTTGTACTCCTTGGATTATTATGAGTTAGAGTCTATAAATATGTATGAACGTTTTACACAAAAGGCAATGAAGTTTATTGAGTTTTATTCAGCTTATGCTAGCTATGGTGAGTGATTTCCATGCTCTTGAGTGATTCTAGCCTTCTAGGCACCCTGTGAGTGATTCCAGGTATTTTCTCTCTTCTTTCTCTCCCTATTTTCTTTCTTATTCCTTCAAGAAGCTATTACAGCCACCAGCAGCTATTAAGCTTTACAATGAACATCAATTTACGACCTATCAACTTCTTTCCCTTTGGAAGGTTGACAAAATCCCATGTGTGATTCTTATGGAAGGCATAAATCT